AAAATATGAATTAAATGATTGTCAAAAGAGACAATATCATTTGGAAATAAAAGTGTGCTGGCATCACAGCTAGTTTTGTTTTGTGTTGTGATCTGAAGGGTTACCCTAACAAGTTCTAGGAACAGAAGCTCAGCTTTTCTCATTAAATGATGCAGGAAAGTTTTTGCTCCTTTATTACCTATTTCATATCAAATGTGGGAGAGGAAATGTTTCTGTTTGAATATTACTGGGGGCAACATAAGGGAACTAGAGGGCTCCTAATATATTTGCTGCATAGTGTTAATATAGGACAAAGTGCACTTGCAAATGGAGGCTGGGAAGCTAAAGGAGACACTTCACCTTTCTGTGCCAGAAAATTATCCTGAATAAGTGCCTCCCCTCAGCAGTTTTTTCTCCCCTTTCCCCAGTAGAGTTAAAACAAATCCAAGGAGAATTTTAGAGGGCAAAACAACACAGACATTAAACACACTCCCTGAAATCCTCCCTTGTAACTGTTACCCTATTTCCCATTATCTTGACAAATGTAGAATTAGAATAGTTCATCTGTCAAGGTAAAATCAATTCTTAGAGATACCAAAAGGTCAGCATGAAATTACAGAAATATGCAGTTTTGGCATGTTAATAGAATGGTGCTTATCAATACAGCATTTAATGAGTTTTTATTTAAATACCTTACATTTTAATACAATAATTTATTGTTGTATCCCACTCAGGGAGCCATGTGGCTAATGGGGAGGGTTAGAAATCTAATAAATAAATAAATATAAAGATTTAGCCCATATTCATTTAATTACAGTGTAAGAAAATGGAAAATCTAATGGTGGATTCCAGCCTACAAAAGCCTATTCCATAATAAAAGCATTTGACTTTATAATGCTCCAAAATGTTAAGTTTGAGAAAGTATTTCAAGTCCTCTAAGAATAAGCAAAACTGACATTGTATAATATGTGATCATTCTATTTAAAAATCAAGATCAAATTTACTTCAAAAGTCTCCTTTTCTTCATGTCACAAACTCTAATCCCATGTGAATTCCTGTACTTTAGAAAACACGAAAAAGACAAAGATCCTGGTACAGCTTGAAGATACTAGTTGTGCCTTTCTTCAAGAGCTTTAGTGTCTATTCAATGATTCAAAACTGAGCTGCAAATAATTGATATAAATGAAGGAGAATGCCTTACACATTGTTTCGCTTCAAAATCATAATGGGTATGCAACCAAAAAGAATCAGAAGTAGCACAACACCAACCAGAGATCCTGTTGAAGACAAATAACAATTTCATTTCAAAGTATGAATTTTGTTTCTCTCTAAAGAAAGCTTGAAGTGATTAGCAGTAACATACTGAAACCAAACATAAATGTTAGCTAATAAAATACTAACAAAATAATCCTATTCATATCTGTTTGGAAGGATGTAACAAAAGGCAAGAACAAAAACCCAGAATGCAATTATGGACCATGTGGAAGAGTCCCAAATATGCTACTACACATAATTGTTTGGAATACAGAATAGGAGGGACAGATATTAGAAAATGACATGAGCCTGTGTCAATTAGTTTTAATAAAGGGGACATGTCCAAGATCTCATTGGGGGAAGGGGATTTCTATTAATATTATGTTTTAAAAGTTTGCATCTACTGGGTCAAAGAGTCTTTCAAGGCACTGATGTTGGAATTTTCTGCTCTTAATAGTAGGATTGTTCCGTTAATCTTATTAGAGCACAATCCTATGCCTTGCAGCTTTTATATACAGAAGCCTCCAGACGTACACATGTTCTGTGCCCAGCAGAGGTAATCTCTGTCATGTTCACATCAGGTATTTTATCTAGATAACCAGTTTCAGCTGCTGCTGCTGCTGCTGCTGCTGCTGCTGCTGCTGCTGCTGCTGCTACTATTATTATTATTATTATTATTATTATTATTATTATAACATTTCTATGCCTATCTATTCATTTCTATCTAGCGGGGAAGAGAGAAGGCTAGGCTGTTTATAAGAATTGGTTTAAGTCCATGAGGCCAGTTTCCTTCCCTACCTGCTCCCACCACCAGTGTGCCCATTTTTCCACTCCAAGGCCCAGTTATGACCTTGGGATGGGGGGAATCTTGAGATGGTAAGCTTCTTTCAGCACCAGTTGAGAGGCAGTTGGGCAGGGGCTTGTCCTTCACAATCCCAGGTTCAAGATCATGGGATCTTGGACCTGGCACTCCAAATAATCTTATGGCCTCAAAGAAGATGTTGAGAGCCCAGAGAACTGCACATTTAAAGTTTATGAGAGTATATTGTCTTACATTTTTCAAAGTTCCAATGGGATTTTCTTGAAATTACTTACCAAGGCCTAGGGAAGATGAAACATGGTATTCTAATTTGGAAAATAAAACAGAAATAAAAACTATTTTACTATAGATTGAGTAAAAGTCAGCACAGACATCATTTAAAATTAAGAAATATATTTCCTATATCATTTTAAGTAGAATATTTCAGCAAAGGGAATATTCTGGAAAGTTGAACAATGAATCAGTAACCTTTGATTAATTAAGAAAAAGTTACCATCTCAGACCCTAGAAATCTTACATCTATGACTACTGATAAACACATGACTACTCTCATACCAATCAACTGATTAAGACTCTTTTAATATGCAGTTTACTATGACTTTATAATAACTAAGTTAGTGTTGGCCAAGTATTGCTTGGTAAGTTATTAACAAGTCACATCTACAGAATCAGTAAGAAATAATGCAGTGACAGATAAAGTCTTTCCACTTTCCTCGGTGTCTTGGTGCCTCTAGCCTAGTTAGTTATAAACTGAGAAGTAGTACAGTGCAGGAAAACACACAGGATGTAGGCCTGCAAGCCTTCCCCTTCTGTCCAGGTATGTAAAAAGGCAGGGTTACAGAATATGCTCCAGATATGTTTGGCTTATAACTCTCTTTTGATTATCCTTCTCTTTTCATTTAAGTTGGCTAGAGCTTATGAGGGTTGCAGTCCAATAAGCCTCTGGAGGCTCACATTCCACACTACAGCAGTAAATGCTTGATGTATGTGACACTCATTTCACAAGTTATATATTCATGTACTAGTGGAAAGGGGTCTAAAAGACCTTGTGAACAGAAGAAACCCTCCCATGAAAATAAATTTATATCTCAACTCCAGAGAGACTTTGATTTGATATGTTGCCCACTCACCTGGTTTACAAGCTGGCAGAGGAGGGTTCCAAGTGAAATTATGCTGGCACTGAAATTGAGGACTACCTGTCAAGGTGTTACCATCATTACACTCCAGAGTCACATTTACTCCAACCTGAATCACAGTTTCAGTTTCTGTCTGATTGACACCAGAAATCCGTGGGAGGATGCAGCCAACTGCTGAAAATCAAAGATGACAAAAAGGCCTATCACATTTATGTAGTGATGGTGTAAATAAGATACTAATACCCTTACAAATGCCCTTGTGATAACTGGCAGCCTTCTCATTCGAAAACTGAACAGATATGGTGGAAATGTCATTCATTATTAAATGGAAGGAGATACAAAAAAGTTGCAGAGCAGGCACCTTTTTATGCCCTCTAGAGCACAACTGAGTAATTTGTGGCACTCCAGATGTTTTGGAATACAATTTTCATCCACTTTAGCCAGCATAGCTAATGATGAGGCTGATGGGAATTATAGTCCTCCAGATATTTTATCCTGCAGTTGCTCTACTCTACTGTAGACATTAACATTATTCATACCCACTATTTTACTTGGGACACAAGTTTCAAACCCAGTCCTATTTTTGTAACATGGGCCAGGATCTAAATATATGTTACAACAATTGCAACTCTGTTCAAATCTTCCTAAACAGGGGAGGCTACAAGGGGGAGTACACTGGGCCCTCCCAACTCTATTGTCACATTCATCACCCTCTATTTGCAGAGGGCAACTTTCTGAAGAAAAGAGCCACCTGTAACTGTGGAGACTCTCCACATTACTAAGGGTGCTGAAAAAATAATTGTTCATGAGAGCCTGCACAGATACAAGCGGCTCCATGGGAGGAGGAGATAAATGAAGGGGCAGGGCTACCATGCATCCCCGATTCACATTTTTAATCTCACTGGTTTAGGAACACTTGAGTAGGGTTTGTGTTTTTCCTTAATGTGCTCTCTCCAGCGTTAACAATTACCTGATTATCATGTACCTCTCCTATTCATCCAGTTGAAACACATTCTGTCTTCCATGTTCTGTATGGTCAGCTGACTAGGCAAGATGCTTCCATCTCCTGGTTTGCAATTCATGAAGTTTCATGAACAATAGCTGCTATTAATGATGGCAATATATTACCTTCACTATTGTAGGTGGTATGCCTGTCAATACCAGTTCCCAGGGAACCTGAGCTGAAGGGTACTATGGTTCTCATGTCCTGCTGATGGTTTTTCACTGGGCACCTACCTGGCTATTATGTAAACAAAATGTTGGACTTGATGGGCCTTCAGTCTGACTAGCACAGCTCTTCTTAGGTTATTAATGACTACAATAGCACACAGAACATCTCATGGCCTATTAGTCTGTTTCAGTTTCCTCAGAGCCACCATTCATCTTTCTCCCCATTTCTGATGCCTTTGTATTCCTATGTTTTACACTAGGGGTCACTGGAATTCCCCTTAAAGTCTTCTTCAAGCCTTCCTGCAAACAGCTGGAGCTAATGCATCTTACATATCATATGTGTAGGTTTATTAATATATTGCAATAGCACTATACACTATGTAACATTACTTAATTTAAAATACCACCTTTATACCCAAAGCTTTTGTGATTGACTGGTTAAGGCAATGATGCCATGTTGAATATAATTAGATTTCCTGGAAAAAGATATATTACTTCTGTGCTCTGTTAGAGGTTGACCAGACAAGGTAATGTCTCCTGCATAATAAAAATGTTCACTAGCTATGACCACATCGTAGTCTTTGATCCTTCCTTAGATCATTTCTCATCTAAGTTGGTTGAAATGCATACTAGTAATTCATTCTAGTAGTTCATTGTATAAGCCAGATTACATGAAGCTGAAGAAAGGGTATTGGCCTTCATAATACTAGACTCCCAGAAAGGTCCTGAAAATTAGGAAAAGTCTTGAAGTTCATCAGAGTGAACCTCTTCACCAATGGCAGGATTTTTATAGATCAGCCAGTGCCACAGAGCCCATATTTTTGAGTGGCTGTGATGTGAATGGCCTGTATTCAGCAGCAGCAGCAGCAGTCCAAACCTATGAACTAGCTTCACTGATTGGTATTCCAGATTTTAAACAGAAAATATGACGCAGAATAATCTCATTTGTATGACTGACAGGGAAGTAGATACCTGCCAGTGTTCAGCATTGAAGTAATTTTGTTTAATTTCTTCAGACTGTTTTGTATATGTAATCTCATACGTATTCCCTTGCTAATACATCATAGATATAAAAAGGTATTGTTTATGATGACATGTTATACCAAACAGCATATGATGAATACATTTTTTATGTTCATTCTTTATATGCATTATGCCCACTTACTATAAATAACAACTGTATTTTAAATTATACTGAACATAAAAACTGTAACTGGGGGGTTCTCAAATGGCCTTTCAAGCAGTTGGAATTGCGTGCCCCTGATATTAGTTTTACAGTTCTTGGATTAGGAAATTAAATATAGCCTTACTTACATTGGTTGCTTTTACACTGAGGAGCAGGGAGATCCCATGTTCCAGAATCCAGACAGTGGATTGTTGATGTTCCAGTAAGAAAAAAGCCTGGATCACAATGATAAGTCACATTGGAGCCATAAGGAAAATCTTCCATGGTTTCATTGCCACACTTCCCATTGTCAATCATTGGAGGTCTAAGACACCCTAGAGAGAGAATATTTCAGTTTAAAATTACTGCAAAAACTTCAGTTTATTGTCCACTACTAATTTCAGAAGAGCTTATTTCCATGTAGCAATACTTGATTAATTAATGATAAACCCTGGATCAAAACCAGCAGTTCAGATCAAAGTGTTCTGAGCAAAAAATCATTAGTCACAAAATAACAAAACAAAGCAATACTAGGTGTTGCTATACATAAGCAAACAGGTTAGATCCAAAGTTTACATTTCTGGTTCAAGACTGAATGCTGCCTCAAATAGAATAGTTAGTTGCATGTACATTTAACCAGTGCAGTGCCAATTTTAGCATCTGTACACAGGACAAATGCAGATCCATCTTTCCATATATCCCTTCATGATCTGAGGAATGTACATCCACATAGGAAAAATGTATTTTGAACAAGTAGGCAATCAACTGAGGTGTAAAATACTGTTAACAAGAAAATATTTCAATATAAGGACACTATCATAAAGCTGATATATACCCCAGGCCAAAACTGTTCACTAAATTCAGAGTAATTGTCTTAAATAAACTTAAAGTAGGTACAGCTTTTCAAAAGATGAGATGTATACATGAAACCATCTATGAATTTGGGATAATGGTGGTTCAAAAATCCAAAATGAATCAAAAAGAATCTTTGCATTTTGGAGGTTCATTCCTATTCTTAAAATGAGCCTTTAAAAACATAGATAACAACACTATCTAATTAAAGAATCGTCTGCTTCTCAAATGTACATTGCAAAGTTTCCATATATGAAGTCTTCTCCAATACACTTTCCACAGACAATCCTTGGAAGGAAGAGACAACACATTATAGCAAGAGTAAAACAATGATCCAACTATGAATTAATACAGTTTCATTAATGTATAGTAACTACAATGTAGCTGTGGTGATAAGTATAATTTTGCATACCTTTCAAGAGTAAAATCTCTTAAGCCATGTCTGCTGGGGACACTGCTGTAAATAAGCTAAACTGCCAGTGTCATCCTTTCAAAATAAGTTTCTAAGAGATTGATGTGCACAATATTTAACCCAGTGGTTTCTAATTAAAATTTTATCACTTCTTCTCAAGTACCAAGATCTACTGTAATTTTCTAACATGAGCAATTGATTTCCTTTTCTATCATAATGCCTACCATAAATCTTTCAGAAACACAACTGCTCACAAAGAAACTCAGTTTAGTACTGCACATTTCCTAATTGGAGTTTTTCCTTCAAATTAGCTACTGGCATTGTATGTTTCCTTTTGGAAAAAATGTTAATTGGAAAAGAAAGTGAGAGAAGATAAACATTTCAAACCCACACATGCCATTCAGAATAAGCTTTTCATTCATTTTAAAGACATAGGAAGTATGAAAATAGGAAATACAAAGAGGAATTTTCAGAACAATATACTGTGTATACAGTTTCACTCTCTCTAATTTAAGAACTGACCTAAAAATCTGATTTCAAGTCTAAGAGAGGAACTGCTCTGAAAATGAGATGCCAAAAGTTACACCAGCCTACCAACCATGTTCTATAAACTGAATTGTGCCTGGTGTGTGCTACAAATGTACCAGATAGTGATGCGACCTAGTGGAAGATCACTAATTAATTCAGGCATTTAATACTCAGAAGCTGCCCTTGTGACACTGTGGAATATGTACTTACAGCCTCCCTTATACACGTAGTGCTAATATGGCTGATGAATTGCAGATGCCAGTTTGGCTTTGGCACTTCTATGGGCACTTCACTTATTCCACTATCCTATGCAGATCTGTAATCTATGTGAGACATTTCATAATTGTTCACTTTCTGGTTAGTAATTCTGAAATATCTGAAGCATCCTTAATTTGAAAAGTTGCATGAGACATGTTTTCAATTCTTCGAAGGAGGAACTTGTGGAAATGGTGCTTCTCCATTATAGGTGGCAGTTCTAGATCCACAATGGACAATCCTGAGGGTGAGAAATGTACCTTGGAAAAGACCAAATGCCTGAGTTTGTACAATAAATCATTGTCTCTCCAGTAAGACTGTAGTCAGGCTTACAAGTGTATTTCAGAAACCCCCCAATAAAGACTGCAATTTCCTGGCTGTTATGACTCCCATTTTGGATATTTAGGGGTGGCTAACACGACCTCTGATAGGAGAAGCAAGAGAAAAGAGAGGAAAAAGTGAATAAAATACAGTCAACCTTAGGGACACATATTTCTTATGAAAATGTATTTGTTACATATAAGTGGATTCAATACTAGGGTAAACTGAATCATTGCCAAGGCTCATTAACCAAATTTTACAAGGCTCTACTCAGTATTATCAATCATTTGTAACTTTCCAATGTTTTTCCAGTACTTTTTTGTTTTTATTCCAATTTTATGGGAGTCCAGATGCCATTGTTATCCATTTGTAATCCTTCCATACACATCTTTTTGCTTCTTATTGAAACAAGTCCAACTTGGGAGCATTGAAACACGCAGTCTTCACTAGTGCAGAGGCCCTTAGTGACATTCTGCCTTTTTAAGCAGTGTGGTTTTCATGTGATTTGTAATCTACTGGAAGGTGAACCTATCATAGGCCAGCACATAGTTCAGTTTTTTCACATATCAGTCATTTGCTCTTAAAAACTCAATATTAAAATGCAGAATACTGTATTCAAGTTCAGCTGAAAACCTATTCCAACAAATCTTCCCCCTAAACACTGAAAGACCATAGCTGCAATGAAAAAACTCATCAGCTTGTTTTTTTTATTTTTCTAGTTTCCTCACAATAGCTGAGAGGTGTAGGCAAGAATTCCTAAGCAGCTCAAGCTCTTTTTGTTTTTCTTGAATATTTTCAAAATAAATCAAAGCATTTATATTGTTTCATTCATGACAGAATCTCTGAAAAATGCCAAGAAGAAGTAACTAGCATTTCACCTGTCAAATCCGAGTAAAGTTGCACTTATACATACCCCTAGCGCACGTGGGCAGAGGGGAGTCCCACGTCCCATCCAATGTGCACTGGATGGTGTGGTTCCCTTTGAGGATGCAGCCAGGGTTACACTGGATCGTAATTGTCCCTTCCTCTTCAGAGAGCATTACTCTTCCATTCTGAACTTCTGGAGTTACACAACCAGCAACTTCAAAGGAAAGGAGAAAACCAGCATTAGATTCTCTAGTCTGTGCAGACTGGAAAATGGATGCATTGCACAGTAATTTCCTTCAGATCAGAGCCTGCTTAAAATCTCACAGTTTCAGTTTTCCTCATTTTTTATTTCCAGAAAGGGCACAGGTTAGTATGAGAACACATTCGTTGCATGCAGGAAATATCTAGCCTTCAGGGTTATAACCCTTAGTGGCTGCTAATGTGTTGTCATGTTAGAAGAGATTGCAGCCTGTTGCAGGAAACAAAGAGGAAGTATGAGCTGTTCCTCCTCTTTTTCCTCTCTCCTTCAGCAACCAAGAAATAAGAAACAATACCTCCTCCATGATGGAAACAAGTAACAGTATCACTTGTTTTTCTTTCTCATACTTGCAGTTACACACCCAGATTTATAAGTTGCTTGTAGTTAAGCTATATTAGTTGGTCTTCGCCAACATTGTGTATGAAAGGACCAATACAAGTAAGTAGTTTTTAGAACATGCTAAACCAAATCATGTCTAGCCTGTGTCCATTGCCTCTAAAACTAAATGCAGTGTTACTATGTTTTTTTGTATCAAATAATTGCTGTTGGTCATAACTGCCTAAGAATATTTACATTTTCCAGGCAGCTGTTCCCAACTGGCTTTCCATGTCATTAAAACTTCATTACTATAGCTGCAGTGCCTTAACTAAATAGTGGAGATGGAAATGTTGAAACAGTAGCTCATGTACTATAATTTTACAATTGTTATAAAGCTCTAAGAACTTTGGTGATTACTCCTCTGCTTTTAGCTATTCCAGGGTGACCTGTTTCTGTGTATGTGCCCTTTCTTTCAGGAGATCAAAACAAACAGGTCACAATGAAAATGTTAAGAAATAAGATCTACTTTTGTTTCAGAGTTCTAACTTCTATAGGTTCTGAGAGGCTATGTGCAATGATCTATCCAATAATCTGGTACTGGTATCTAACACAAATCACAAGATGTTTTAAGGTAATTTTAGATTAGTACATTTTATTTGCCCCCCCCCCTTATTATGTAAGGCCTATGGCTGAAGCAAATAAAGACTGACTTGACTTGACAAAAGTAAACATGCTGCCACATACATTTGCTGCGGGTACACTGAGGCACAAGTCCATCCCATGTTCCAGAAGACAGGCAATGCATTGTTGTTGCTCCAGTAAGAATATAGCCTGGTTCACAATGGTATGTCACAAAGGAGCCATAAGGGAAATCTTCCAGAGTTTTGCCATCATTTTTCCCATTCGAAATCTCAGGAGGTGCAGGACACCCTATGGGGGGAAAAAATCAGTGTGAAGTCACTACCAGTCATTCAGAATGTATTGACTAAGTCTTAAGACCTTTTCAAACACAATGAACACACATTAAAAACAGATGGTAGCTATACAAAGTTTAAAATAAAGCACTAACATATTACAATCTAAAACTGAGGTAATAAATGAAATATTAAAATTATTTAAAAAGAGAAAAAGTGTAAAAAATACCTTTTAATAGAAAAGCTATTGACAGCCCACCGAAACCCCACATTAAAAATTACACTTTTTAATGCACTATTAACACTTAAGTAATTTTTCCCCTTTTTAAAGTGGCTGTTTTAACTGCAAAGAGGGGTACCCTCTGAGCTACAAGCTGATTAGATCCTTGCAAGAAAAAGTTCTGTTTGCCCTCTACCTCTCAGCTTCTCATATGGTACAAAAGCCAAAGACAGGTAATGCTCTCTGCAGCTTGTATAAATTGTGGGCTGGATCTTCTACTTCTGGTACACCACACATACATAGTCTTTCATGCACTGGTAGAGTTTGCCTTGTTGCATCATGTTATCCATTTGTTCAAATCACAAATGGTTGAAGGACGAAACTTGATCCCTTTTCATTGGTAAGAGGAGATATTTTACTTCCTGAAGTTGATTTAGACCTCATTGTTCATTCCATAAACCTAGTGTTTTGACAAGGCAGCTATGCCACCTGTGCTCTAGTGTTTAGTAATCTTTATTTTAAAACATTTTCAGATTAAGATCAGAAGTACTTAGAGCTTCCAGAGTGAAAACCATAGCTTTACAACAATTCTGAAAATGTATAAAAATATTTTTCCATGGTTTTGGCCATCTGCTCATTTGGGCACTTCTTAGGGAGCCTGGTGTCACAGATTGTATCTGTCTTATACCAGTAGTTAAATAGCTTAAGATGGTTCATGACTGACACTGCTTCTATTCCAAATTCATTTCTTATTACATGAGCCAGGGTGAATCTTGACAGACCTAAAATTAAATGCAAGAAGTGATTCTGGACCCCTTCAGTTCTTGTTTTTGTTTTTAATTGGCAAAGCACTCATTTCTGCACCAAAGGTCAGAAATGGCAACACCTTTGCCTTACACACTGGTTGAAATGAGTTGTGATCCCTATAATTTAAGCAGCTATTCAAAGTTTGGAAACAGACTGGTTCCTTGGCTTGTAATATCCAGGTTCCCACAGATGATGATGATGATGATGATGATGATGATGATGATGATGATTATAGCATTTCTATGCCACCCCTTGCCGAAACCTCGGGGCGGCTTACAACATGATAAAATACATTGAAATACAATAGTACATAATAAATTACCATTAAATATAAAAATACAAAGAATACATTGATTTACAAAAATAAAATTAAAATTATCAGTATAAAATAAAAATATAGGAGGAGAAAGAGAAGGAAGAAGAAGTTGCCCTGGCCAAGACAATGCCTGGACAAGTAAAAGACTCCACTTGCTCTGTTTCATCACAATCTAAAAACAATATGTATCATTCTTTTTCTTCCTAAATATTACCACTTTTGATTTTGTGCTGTTAATTACCAAGTTGTTCTCCCAACAGTAGGCCATAGGCTTTCTCAGTAATCTACATAGCCCTATCTGGTTGGTAGGCAGTAAGAGCATGTCATCTGAATATAGAAGGTTATTAACTAATCTTTACTGGATCTTTGGCATATGAGATTTTGACTGTTAAAAAAGGAACTTCATCACTAATACAGAAGTTAAAAAGAAATAGAGTGAGAATACAGCCCTGTCAAACTTCTTTATCTGTGAACATCTTACTTGTTAAGACAGTTTACACCAGTTCTGACCTTCATAAGGAAATAAAGTCCCTGATCTACGCTTGTTTTTAACATTTTTTCTCATAAAAAGTTACTACTTAACAAGTCAAAGACAGCATTTAAATAAATAAATGAGCTGCCCACCATTTGTAGTGTATATCGATATGAACTGAGAAAGAATAAAACAATTCCTGAAACTGGACAGCCATCTGAGTGGGCTGGTGTAATGTGGTGTCCTGCAACAGCAGGGGGGTTGGACTTGATGGCCTCCATGACCCCTTCCAACTCTACTATGATTTTGTGAATTATCAATGGCCTTCCTTTTCTGAAGCCTTCCTGCTTTTCTGATGAGATAGCATTATGTTCAGTTTTTGCTTTCTGCTTTTGTTTTCTCTGCTAGCTACAAACTTCTCAGTCTTCTACAAACTACAACTGTCCCATATCTACAAGCACAGATGAACTTTAGTAGGGGTGCACCTAAAATTTTACCTATGGGATTAGGTTGTTAAAAGAAAATCAAAAAGAACCTTTGCACTTTGGAAGTTCACTCCATCGCACAGAGTTTGAACCTTCTAAAATACAGGTAACTGAGTGCTCTCCAACAAGGGAATAGCCAGCATCACAAATGTATATCACAGATTGCCCATATCTGAAGTCTTCTCCAATGTACTTTCCATGGGTAATCCTTGAGGGCAATGGGCAATGCATAACTGCAAAAGAAAATAAAAGGGGAATTAACAAAGGCGATTCCATCTGTACCAGGTAGTAGTGGCTGAATAAGCTAGTCCTCCATGTGCAATATGTGTAATGGTCTGATTCTACATATGACAGAAACAGAAGTGTTACTATTCCATGGTTTTTGAAATCATTTCTGTAGAAGAAAGAGTTTGATATTCTAATACTATAACATTATATAAACTTGTTTTATCTTAACTGTTTGGATAAGGATTAAAAAATGTCTTATACATTTTGAGAGGAAATAGGGAAAATATTTCCCCACTGTTCTGGCCTTCTGCAGGCTGTACATTCCTTCACCTATTTGCTTTCTGGGCACTGTTAACATAAACTAAAAAGTGAGAGAAAATTGACATTTTAAAAAATATGAACAGGTTTTTCTTTCATTCTACACACAGGAAATAGAAAAATTAAATTAAGGGGAACTACAAAAATACTCGTAGTACACTTCCATTTTCAATCCCTCTACCAATTTAAGAACTGGCCTAAATATGTGGTTTCACACCAAAGGGAAGGAAATCTCCTGAAAATTCACCCTGTGTTTAGGTAAATTCTAGCATTCAGTGAAACCTGGAGGCAAGAGCAGCTGCTTCCTCCAGAAATAAGAAGTGTCAAAGCCACACTGCCAAGCCATTCCTATTGCAGGTTTCCTGGACTCCACCATCCATATCTCCTCCTCTTAAGTACTCCATCGCATCCCATATAAAAGCCCTTCCTGTTACTCAATGAGGCAAGAATGAGTTTGCAAGTTCAGAAGCACATCCAGATTCAGAGGAGCTGACACTCATTAGAAAAAGCAGCTGTCCAAATGGTTGGGTGGCAACTTGCCATGGGGGGGGGGGGGCTTGTGCATGCTTGAACACTTCAAAATAAACCACAAGTATCAACAAGAAAGAAACATACCTGCACAGCGAGGAGGAGCAGGACTCCATGTGCCGAAATCTGAACAATAAATAGTGGCCTCTCCAGTAAGCGTGTAGCCAGGCTCACAAGCGTACTTCACAGACATTCCTCTGGTGAACACTGCTGTCCCTTGGTTGCTGTGAGCCCCATTTTGGACAGGGGGTGGCAGCTGGCATTGCACCACTGAATGGAGAGGGCAAGGGTTAGTGTGCATAGGAAGTGACATTTGTATTTTAGCTCAAAGGAGCCGGAATGACCATCTTCTGACACCTTGATGGCAGGCACAATCATTGTGACATATGCTTTCAGGGACTCCAAGGAGTCATGGAGCTGAGACAGGAATCTGCCGCAGAGACAGTGATAAGGGGGAATGAAAAGTGTGAGCTATTGGGTGCTGTGTAATTCACTCAAGCAAGTAAATACACAGGAGATGCCACTGCAGCATGGAGCAAAGAGTGCATTAGCTGCCCCCATTCCCAATAGCACTCACAGGGCTGATGAACTGCAGGTGCCAGTTTGGCTTTGCCACTTCTAAGGCTACCTCAGATGTTCCAGTATCCTAACCAGTTGTGTAATCTGTGTGAGGCATTTCCTAATTGTGCACTTCCAGATCAGTAATTCTGAAATATCTGAAGTGACCTTAATTTGGGAAGTTGTCTGAGACATGTTTTCAATTCTTCCAAGGAAGACTTCCCCATTGTATAGATGGCATTTCGAGAGCCACAGTGGACAATCCTGAACAACATACCTTCACAGCGAGGGGCCGGGAAAGACCAAGTGCCCAAGTCTGTGCAATAAATAGTTTTCTCTCCAGTAAGATTGTAGCCTGAGTCACAGGTATATGTCACAACCATCCCTCTGGTAAAGACTGCAGCTTGCTGGCTGCTGTGACCTCCATTTTGGATAAATGGGGGTGGCTGGCACTGAACATCTGAAAGCAGAAGAGAGGGGAAGGAGGAGACAAAACATCCATTGAAATACTGTCACTACCAGGCATTCATAATTCTTAACACAATGTACTTGCTACAATTAGGTTGCCTCTAGGAAAGGACACATTGGGCAGTGACTATGATCGTTAATCCACATTTAACAAGGGGTCCACACATTTTCATCCATTGGTAATACTCCAGCGCCACCTGCATCTAGTCTCTTACTGGTGAAAGTCCAGATTTGGCAGGGGTGTGTGCTCGCATGTGTGTGTGTGTGTGTGTGTGTGTGTGTGTGTGTGTGAAAAAGAACAGTGGTGATGCAAAACTTAACAGCTTGTTTCCTTTGGCACACTATAAGAAGTAAGAACATAGATAGCAGTCTCAGCTGGTGAGAGAAGTAGGCAAGAACCCCTAAGCACCTCAAGTTGTTTTCTCTTTCCTGAGAGCAAGAAAGATTGCATAAAACACGCATGCTTGAGAGTCACAGAGGAAACTGGGGGACTCTCAAAAGAACTATAAGAATAGATATGCTGCTCACAGAGGTTTAAAAACCACCCAGAGTTGTACAAATGCATACCCCCAACACAAGTGGGCAGAGGGGAGTCCCACGTCCCGTCCAATGTGCACTGGATTGTGTGGTTCCCTTTGAGGATGCAGCCAGGGTTACACTGGATCGTAATTGTCCCTTCCTCTTCAGAGAGCATTACTCTTCCATTCTGAACTTCTGGAGTTACACAACCAGCAACTTCAAAGGAAAGGAGAAAACCAGCATTAGATTCTCTAGTCTGTGCAGATTGGAAAATGGATGCATTGCACAGTAATTTCCTTCAGATCAGAGCCTGCTTAAAATCTCACAGTTTCAGTTTTCCTCATTTTTTATTTCCAGAAAGGGCACAGGCTAGTATGAGAACACATTCTTTGCATGCAGGAATTATCCAGCCTTCAGGGTTATAATCATTAATGGCTGCTAATGTGTTGTCATGTTAGAAGGGATTCCAGCTTGTTGCAGGAAACCAAGAGGAAATAGAAGGACTAGGGTATGGACAAAACCTATTAGAATCCATCCCTCTAGCATTTATGGACTTCTTCTCATGCTTGGCCCTTTCTTGCAAACTCCATGAGGAAATCCATGAAAGTTTGCAGAACGAAAGCTGTGCAGCTGGCTACCTATTTCTGCCTCAGGTGCAACAGCAAAAATGACTGCTGGAGGTCACATGGACGGGGGTATGCTGCTTGGGCAGTGGTCACATGACATTCCAAGCTTGGCATGCCCCATGTGAACATACTTCTTCCGTGTCAGGTGCAATAGCACTGCTTTTCAGTTGCTACTTGTGCTGCACATGGAGTTGGAATCCTAGAGAGCACTCTGTGAACACAGGGAAACTTACCAGGAACCCAGATTTATGACCACAACAAGGCAGACCTGAGTCTGGGGAGCTTTCCCCAGGGGAACTGTCAGATTCCCACCCCCAGTGCAAATTCTTCACACATTCCTAAGAAGGATCGTCCTGTTCTCATCATGATGGTGCTTTAGGTGTGGCAAGCTGGGAGAAGAATGGAAGATCACATTTTGGTTGAGCACGTTGGCAGTAGAAATCTCAAGAGATGGTCATGGCTAGATGTAGAGATTGCCTTGACCAGTCATGGTTAAAAAGAATAATGTGTTGTGTGTTGATACAGCAAACATTCCCTGCATGCATTATGCCTAGTATTCCATTAAAAGTCATATCAGATTATATCTGATATGAAATAAATACACTGTAGGAGCACTGCTGCTCTCAATTGTCTCCTCGTGTCAATAGAACTCACGCCCCCACATACTATTGTTACAGTCCTTCAACTCCAAAAGGTAAGCAGGCCTTCACATACATTCTCCATGTTTACACTTAGGCACTGGTCCATCCCATACTCCAGAAGACAGACAATGAATTGTTGCTGATCCAATAAGAATGTAGCCTGGGTCACAAAGATATGTCACAGATGAACCATAAGGGAAATCTTCCAGACCTTTTTGGTCATGTGTCCCATTGCCAATCTTTGGAGGTGCAGGGCACCCTATGGAGAAAATATTTCAATATTAAGTCATTACCAGAACTTTGGTTTCTATGCCACTTATAAACTTGTCAGAGTAACTAAACTGCGGGTAATTTTCATGCCTACAAATGTAGATTATTTATTTACTTATTTATTAGATTTATACCCCACCTTTTTCTTTTTTAAAGATCTCACAGTGCTCCTGCTCTCAATATTATCCCCACAACAACAACCCTGTGAGGTAGGTTGGGCTGAGATCAGTGATTGGCCCAAAGCCACCCAGTTGGATCCATGGCTGAGTGGGGACTAGAACCCTTTTTGCCTGAGTCCTAGACCCACACAGCACCATATTGGCTGTCTGATGGATGATGTAAGGAATAGATGTGCTATGAGAAGGCATGTGCATGAAAGTTCGTTCATGGGTGTCGGTTGTTAAATAAAAATTAACCTTTGCATTTTGGAGGTTCACTCCATTTCACAGAGTTTGAGCTTTCTAAAATACAAGTAATGTTGTGCTCTCCAACAAGAGAATAGCCAGCATCACAAATGTATATTGCAGATTGCTTGTATCTGAAGTCTTCTCCAACAAACTTTCCATGGACAATCCTTGGGGGCAATGGACACTGCATAGCTGCAAGAGAATAAAACAATCTGCTAACTGAGGTATTTTTCCACTTGTAGGACACAGTTTATTAGAGCCTGACTCTGGCTCAAGAGGTTGTACATATCTTCCATTGTGAGAGGCATGCATCTCTTCCAATCACAATATTCGGTAACTTTGCATATTTCTTATGCATTTGAGAACAGATTCTTGCTGAGAAGGTTCCCACTGGGTTAATATGTAGACGGCAACCCACAATGGGTTATCTTCCCTAAGAATTGTGTGGGCCATATGCCTAAACTTTTGTGCATTTTATTGGTCCCAAGTTTCTCTTTGCCAGTTCCCCAAATGGCTAAACCTCAGAAGGAAAGAGGTCAATCCCCTGATTGAAGTCAAGGTTAGATGCACAGAGGAACAGAAAATCCTGTAACACAGTTATCTATGTCCAATAAGAAATTGTCCATCTAGTGGAGGCAGAAACTGATGTCCATGTAACTGATTGGAAAGCTCAGTAAAGTGCTGGCTGTGGTTGGGATGACTTCCACATACCATCATAGTAGGAATCTTCTTGGTAAGTACCAATGTTCAATTTTCCAGGTTGGTGTGAGGAAGGCCACAATGGAATATGCTAAAACAAATGCCCAATGAAAGCATGGGTATAATCTTTAGTCAACTTATCTAATATTGTGTAAATACCTGAAGGAGAACTATTTTTCCTAGGAAACCAGCTGTCATGAACAGGTCCTTTCCCTATTTTCTTTCCCTTTCAGAAGACTCAAAATGAAGCCTTGGAAACACAGTTCTTTCACCGAAACTTAACTGGTCACAGAACAGTATAAATCAGAGTAGCATTCTCTTTGGGGTGTGGGAGAAACATCTGCCCATGTAAAGAGTTGAACACAAACTGAAACTTCCTTTCCTTCCCTTTCACCAAACTTCTGATTCCACCCTCAGGGTTAACACTCCTGTTTGCAGGCTGCTTGTCAGGAACATCATACATTTTATAATTGGTCTGCTCACTTCACCTGTACTCACCTGACCAGGTCAAGGAGTTTCTCATGTATCCCTGCCTACACCAGTTCTGAAAAGTTTCCCTCCTTTTCCAAGGAAGGCTGTTTCTCATACTCTGCTTGAAAAAATTGTTACAGTGTTTAAACCTCTTTGGGCACTCAGGTTTAAAAAGAATGATGATAATCTGGAGAGAGTTTAGAGGAGGGCAACAAAGATGATACAGGGCCTGGAAAATAAGTCTTGTGATGAGATGCTGAAAGAACTGGGCCTGTTCAGCCTTGAGAAAAGAAGTGACATGATAGCACTCTACAGGTACCTCAAAGGCTGTCACAGAGAAGAAGGAAAAGACCTATTCTTGTTCATCTTGTGATATGGAAAAATGAACTTAAACTACTCCAGGTGCAGGCTAGACACAAGGAGGAATTTCCTGACTCTGAGAGCAATATCACTGTGGAACCAGCTGCCAAGAGAGGTAGTGCACTCTTCCACACAGGATGCATTTAAGAAACATTTAGACAGTTATCTGATTGGGATGGTGTAACTGGCATCCTACATGATATAATTGGATTTGGTAGGTGACAAGAATGTCAACCATCCCATGGGATGATCTTTAGAAATGATATAATTGGATTTAGTAGGTGTGCTAGATCCAGTAGATCTCTTGTTTCTTGGAGATTCTTTGAGAGAATTTGGGGCTTGAATATACTTCCTGGAGAAAGAAATTGGCAGCCTGTGAAGGTGCTATCAATGCTGCTAGCTGCAGAAGAGATTGAGTGAGAATTAGGTGACTCCTCTTTTTGTTCACTGCAAATTCATGATATTAAATGTGGTCAGTAGCCAGGCTACTGTTCTGTAAAGCTTTAAGATTACAGGAGGACCTGATGAGCAGGTCTTCCAGAAATGGATAGATGAGCACTCCTTGGAGCTGAAGATGAACTCTTAGGAAAATAAGGATTTTGGTGAAAACCCTGGGAGCTGAGTTTAGGCCAAATGACATTTCTTTGAATTATAAATGGTGGGTTTGATCAAACACACACGCACACACACACAGAGATGGATAGTCTGTGCCATGGTGCTATTCAGATGTAGAAACAGACCTCTGTGAGGTCAACTGATGTCTGGAACTGCACTTCACAAAGGACTTCTCTGATGTTCTGCAGTGTTTCCATTCAATATTGGCTGGAAGAGGTAGTGTCAGGGTGGAAATGCAATCTGGACCAAACTGGTTTCTGGAAACCGTAGTTTATTCAGAAAAAAGGTTTTCACGCATTTTACACACATGCAAAATAAGAAAATTAAATTAAGGGAAAGGAAAACAGTACACTTTTACTTTCAGTCTCTCTACCAATTTCTCAACTGGCCTAAATATGTGGTTTCACACTTTGCAGGAGGAAATCCTCTGAACACCCTTCCTGCCTTTACATAAATTCTAGTGCTTAATGAAGCCTGGAGACAAGAGCGACATGCTCTTCCAGAAATAAGAAGTGCCGAAAATTCCATCATAATGACAAACCATTGCCCTGCAGATTTCCTGGACTCCACAATCCATAGTTCCTCCTCTTCTTCTACTCAATCCCAGTTCTGCATATAAAAGCCCTTCCTGTTACAGGAAAGTAACGTACCTTCACATTGAGGAGGAGCAGGACTCCATGTGCCGGAATCCGAGCAATAAATAGTGGCCTCTCCAGTAAGCGTGTAGCCAGGCTCACAGGTGTACTTCACAGGCATTCCTCTGGTGAACACTGCTGTTTCTTGGTTGCTGTGAGCCCCATTTTGGACAGGGGGTGGCAGCTGGCATTGCACCACTGAATGGAGAGGGCAAGGGGTTAGTATGCATAGGAAGTAACATTTGTATTTTAGCTCAAAGGCACCGCAATGACAATCTTCTGACACCTTGATGGCAGGCACAATCATTGCGACATATGCTTTCAGGGACTCCATAACCGACTTTAGTGGTTATGCATGTGGAGGATGTTTGCTATACCATGGTGCAATAAGGAGAGCTTTTCACACCTGTGAGGTCCAGTGTCTTTCACAGCTATGCTCTCTGTGCCTGTTGTGACAAAATGTTTTTGGTTACTATTTTCACCATGCTCAACGAACATTCAACTTTGGTTCCTTAGTTGATAATTTATGGGGTTGAAACATTTCTTCATGATCCTACTCAGACTCAACTGGCTAGCCTTAGGTTCAAATAATAGGAAATGGAAAGAACAGCTGACTTCTTCTGTCATTTACCTTTAAATGACAGAAGGAAACATAACTTTTAAAGGAAGCATAACTACCTTCCACCCGTTCCAGAATTTCCCTTCATCCTTATGGACTAATCTCACATATGTTAAAAGTAGATGGTCCATGACCTTTCCCTGCCTAGTGCTTTACTGTGCTGAGGTCAGGTTCCTACTAGGCACTAAAAATATAGTTTTACTAATGTCTTCCGAAGTATCCTGGGCATGAGCAAAAGAAGGGCTTATTTTCATGCTAAAGTGCTGGGTAAAAACATCTCAGAAACCAGAAGATAGAGGTCTGTCCTTCCGGTCTTCCCTCCACTTGCTGCAGGCAAAGCACTGTTGTTACAAGAACAAGAGTGGCCACTAAGGACTTCATTGAAAAAAAAGGAAAGAAGAACCTTTGCACTGTGGAGGTTCGCTCCATTTCACAGAATTTGAGCCTTCTAAAATGCAGGTAGCCAAGGGCTCTCCAACTAGGGAATAGCCAGCATCACAAATATATACTGCATGTTGCCCATATCTGAAGTCTTCCCCAGTGTATGTTCCATGGTCAATCACTGGGGGCAATGGACAGTGCATAGCTGCAAAAGAATAACACAATCGCCAGCTGAGAATTAACATGCTTTCCCCAATATTTAGGAGACATAGCGGCAGAGGCTGCCGTGTGCTCAAGAGTTTGTACAGTGATTCGCAGCTCTCCCACAGAGCATGTAGCCATTGTGAGCATTATTATTTGCATGACTTCCAGCCAAGACATTTGGCCATGCATCTCGCTTTGACTTTTGAGAACCACATTGCATGCTCACCTTAATTATGAAAATCAAGTGAGAGACTTTCAACATCTCACTTCCTCTGTTGACTTACAACTCACCTAAATACGTGGTTTCAGACCTTGGGGACAGGGGGATTCTTTATCGCCCCTTAACAGAAGTCAAGATTAAATAACAAAGCCATGGGGCAAGGGCAGCTGGTGCCCTCAGATAGTGGAGCTTCCAGAGGATTTGACAGGCTGACACGCCATTCCATAGCAGATTTCCATAGCTCTTACTTTCCCCATCCCTTTGCTGCCTCTAGAAGCACCCACCACCAGTCATCAAATTTAAATTGAGACTCCAAGTTCAGAAGCAGAATACCCGATCCAGATTCTGCTATGTTGGCTTCCTTTCCTTTCCTTTCCTTTCCTTTCCTTTCCTTTCCTTTCCTTTCCCTTCCCTTCCCTTCCCTTCCTTTCCTTTTTTTTAGAAATGAAAACAATGAGAACGTCAAGGAGAAAGAAACGTACCTTCACAGCGAGGAGGAAGGGGACTCCATGTGCCAGAATCCGAGCAATAAATAGTGGCCTCTCCAGTAAGCGTGTAGCCAGGCTCACAGGCGTACTTCACAGACGTTCCTCTGGTGAACACTGCTGTCCCTTGGTTGCTGTGAGCCCCATTTTGGACAGGGGGTGGCAGCTGGCATTGCACCACTGAATGGAGAGGGCAAGGGTTAGTGTGCATAGGAAGTGACATTTGTATTTTAGCTCAAAGGAGCCGGAATGACAATCTGCTGACACCTTGATGGCAGGCACAATCATTGTGACATATGCTTTCAGGGACTCCAAGGAGTCATGGAGCTGAGACAGGAATCTGCCGCAGAGACAGTGATAAGGAGGAACGAAAAGTGTGAGCTATTGGGTGCTGTGTAATTCACTCAAGCAGGTAAATACACAGGAGATGCCACTGCAGCATGGAGCAAAGAGTGCATTAGCTGCCCCCATTCCCAATAGTACTCACACAGCTGATGAACTGCTGGTTCCAGTTTGGCTTTGCCACTTCTAAGGCTACCTCAGATGTTCCAGTATCCTAACCAGATGTGTAATCGATGTGGGGCATTTCCTAATTGTGCACTTCCAGATCAGTAATTCTGAAATATCTGAAGTGACCTTAATTTGGGAAGTTGCCTGAGACATGTTTTCAATTCTTCCAAGGAAGAACGTGGGAAACAGTACTTCCCCATTGTGTTGATGGCATTTCCAGAGCCACAGTGGACATTCCTGTGGGTGAGCAACGTACCTTCACAGCGAGGGGCTGGGGAAGACCAAGTGCCCAAGTCTGTGCAATAAATAGTTTTCTCTCCGGTAAGATTGTAGCCTGAGTCACAGGTATATGTCACAACCATCCCTCTGGTAAAGACTGCAGCTTGCTGGCTGCTGTGACCTCCATTTTGGATAAACGGGGGTGGCTGGCACTGGACATCTGAAAGCGGAAGAGAGGGGATAGAGGAGACAAAACATCTATTGAAATACTGTCACTGCCAGGCATTCATATTTCTTACCACAATGCACTTGGTACAGTTAGGCTGCCTCTAGGCAAGGACACGTTGCGCAGTGACAATGATCGTTAATCCACATTGCACGGGGGGTCCTCACATTTTCATCCATTGGTAATGCTCCCATGTCACCTGCATCTACTCTCTTACTGGAGAAAGTCCAGATTTGGCAGGGGTGTGTGCTCGCGCGTGTGTTTGTGTGTGTGAAGGAGAACAGTGGCAATTCAAAACTTATCAGCTTGTTTCCTTTGACACACTATAAGGCAGGGGTCTCAAAATCTCGGCCCGCGGGCCAATTGCCGGGAGGGGCGGGGCACGGTGGAGGGGCCCTGCGGCCTTCAAAGTGCCGGCGGTGCCCGGGCCGGCCTCCAGATGAGCCGTCCACCATCACCGCAGTGGTGGAATACTTGATGCGGCCCAGCCTCACCCAGACTCTACTTCCGGCGGCCCCCAGGTAAGTTGAGTTTGAGACAACTGCTATGAGAAGTAAGAACATAGATAGCAGCCTCAGCTGGTGAGAAATAAGCAACCTTTCTGGAAGCAAGAAAGATTGCATAAAACTCTCGTGCTTGGGAGATGCAGAGGAAAGTGTGAGGAACTCTCGAAGAATCGTAACAATAGTTATGCAGCTCACAGAGGTTTAAAAAACACCCAGCGTTGCATGAATACATACCCCTGACACAGGTGGGCGGAGGGGAGTCCCACATCCTGTCCAGCGTGCATTGAATGGTATGGTTGCCCTTGAGGAAGTAGCCAGGGTTACACCGGATCGTAATTCTCCCTTCCTCTTCAGAGAGTGTTACTTTTCCATTCTGAACATCTGGAGTTACACAGCCAGTGACTTCAAAGGAAAGGAGAAAACCCACATTAGATTCTCTAGGCTGTGTGGACTGGAAAATGGATGCACTGCACAGTCATTTCCTTCAGATCAGAGCAAGCAGAAGATGAAATCAGTCAGGAATTATGGAGTCCACTGGCTCTCCAGTCACGCTCCACTTACTGTGGCTACAGTTCTTCGACTCACGAATGTAAGTAGGTCCTCACAATCTTTTGCACCCTGTACACTTAAGCATAGGTCTCTCCCATGCTCCGGAAGACAGACAAAGGATTGTTGCTGTAAAAAAGTACCTTTGCACTGTGGAGGTTCGCTCCATTTCACAGAATTTGAGCCTTCTAAAATGCAGGTAGCCAAGGGCTCTCCAACTAGGGAATAGCCAGCATCACAAATATATACCGCATGTTGCCCATATCTGAAGTCTTCCCCAGTGTATGTTCCATGGTCAATCACTGGGGGCAATGGACAGTGCATAGCTGCAAAAGAATAACACAATCGCCAACTGAGAATTAACATGCTTTCCCCAATATTTAGGAGACATAGCGGCAGAGGCTGCCGTGTGCTCAAGAGTTTGTACAGTGATTTGCAGCTCTCCCACAGAGCATGTAGCCATTGTGAGCATTATTACTTGCATGACTTCCAGCCAAGATATTTGGCCATGCATCTCACTTTGACTTTTGAAAACCACATTGTATGCTCACCTTAATTATGAAAATCAAGTGAGAGACTTTCAACATCTCACTTCCTCTGTTGACTCACCTAAATATATGGTGTCAAACCTTAGGGGCAGGGGGACTTCTTTGTCTCGCTTTAGCTGAAGTCAAGATTAAATAACAAAGCCATGAGGCAAGGGCAGCTGGTGCCTTCAGATAGTGGAGGTTCCCAAGGGTTTGACAGGTTGACAAGCCATTCCATTGTGGATGCTCCAAATTCTCTATCCATAGCTCTTACTTTTCCCATCACTTTGTTGCCTATAGAACTATCTACAATCAGTCATCCAATTTAAATTGAGACTCCAAGTTCAGAAGCAGAATACCTGATCCAGATTCTGGTATGCTGACTGTTCCGTTCCGTTCTGTTCTGTTCTGGTTTTTTTTTTTTTTTAGAAATAGCAGTTGCCTGAACTGCTGGGTAGCAAGTTGCCCTTCACTGGGCTGTCTGCAAGCATTGTACACTGTGCACCATGAGTGCTAATGAGTAAGCCCTGTACCTTCACAGTGAGGAGGAAGAGGACTCCATGTGCCAGAATCCGAGCAATAAAGATTTGCCTCTCCAGTAAGAGTGTAACCAGGCTTACACGTGTATTGCACAGACATTCCTCTGGTGAACACTGCTGTTCCTTGGTTGCTGTGAGCCCCATTTTCAATAGAAGGTGGTAGCTTGCATTGCACCACTGAAAGGAGGAGGGAGAGAGTATAAAAAAGTTGTGTTATATATATATATAGATATAGATATAGATATAGATATAGATATAGATATAGATATATATATATATATATATATGAAGAAGTAAATGCTTGTGGTGACATGCATATTTATTTGTGGACTCCGAGGAATCCTGCTAGTGACATGCATCTGGATGGTGAAAGTGTGCCTTGTCTCTGCTGGGGATGCAGTGATGTGAGTGCAAAACGTGTTGTGAGTATGCTGGGCTTTCCTACTTTTATAAGCAGTACATTTACAGGTCTAGCTTGTTAAAGACAAAACAAAAACAACCTTTGCATTTTGGAGTTTCACTCCATTTCACAGCATTTGAGCCTGCTAAAATACAGGTAACCAATTCCTCTCCAACAAGGGAATAGCCAGTATCACATTTGTATCTTATGGATTGCCCATATCTGAAATCTCGTTCGATATACTTTCCATGAAGAATCTTTGGGGGAAATGGACAACGCATAGCTGCAAAAGAAGAACACAATATTCCAACTAAGAATTAACTTGGATTCCTCAATTGATAATTTGCAAAAATTTGTTGGCAGGAAAATACAAAGCCTTATAGTCTCTCCTTGGTATTTATTTGAGAAAGAAGTGAACAGTGCTTCAGTGAGAGTTCAGTTCAGGTAAGAATCATATGATTATGATTATATATCATCCAGTTATCCATTAACAGCAGTGTCTATCTGTGGCTCACCCATATCATTTGGAGTACCTCCCAAAGCAGAGAAAATCTATTTAAACAATTATCTGCATTTTAAATCTGTAAAACTAAAATGAAGAGCTATTGTATAAACTTGCCTTTACAGTGTGGGACAGGGATACTCCATGCACCAGATGCTGTGCAGTAAATAGTTGCCTCTCCTATCAGTACATAACCAGATTCACAGCTGTATTTTACAGAGGCTCCATTGGTATATTTTGCTGATTCCAGGGCACTGTATTTTCCATGATCAACACGTGGAGGTGAGGAGCAGTATGCTGAAAGGACCATTGGAATAAGTTGATATGATGCTACTGAGAGACAGACAAAGAGACAATGCATCCAACAATAATATACATAATGCTAAGGTCCCAATCCCTTTCGGGATAGTGGGTACAAAGCAAGGATTGATTGTGCCGTGAACTGCTGCCATGGTGAGCTAGTGGTATAGTGGTTACAGTGTTGGACTGAGACTTGTGAGATCTGAGTTCTAGTCTCTGCACGCTCCTGAAGCTCAATAGATGACTTTGAAGTGACTGACTCTCAACCTACCCTACCTTGCCAGGTTGATTTGAAGATAAAATGGAGTGTCAGTAGACCATATCCCTCCTTTTTCCTCTTGTGAGGAACTCAAGGTGGCTTACATAGTTCCATTTTATCTTCACAAAAACAAGGTAGGTTGGGCTGAGAATTGGTGACTCGCTCCAAGTCACCCAGGGAGCATCATAGCTGGGTGGAGACTAGAACTTGGGTCCTCTGTTCTGTGCTCTAACCACCACACCACAGTGGCTCCCATTTGAAATCAATGGGAACAAAACCTAAAATGTGACAAGCTATCTTCAGTGGTAGCAGGAGTCAAATTCTGATTACAAGCAGCATACACTGGGCTGAGTTAGAGGTCGTCATATCAGCTACAGAGCCTCCACATCAAATAGTACAAGTATATAGCTTTCTAGCAGGCTGAAAAGGAGAGCAAATAAATACATAAATACATTTTAAACTTAATTTAAAATCAGTCATAATATTAAAACTCCCTCCTCTAAATGCATACCAGTCCTTACACACTATTTTTTCCCTGTACTGGGAGTAGCACACTATCACAACTATGTCTTCTAAATACCCTAAAATGTTTTGCCCCTCTAGAATCCTTTTCTATAAAATGAATTGATTTGTGTATCCTTCCAAATAACCTTCAAATTACTCTTTCAGTGTATGGTAGGGCCCATGTCTATTGGTATCAGAAAGGTTTCATGAAAGGTTTCATCACAAGGGTTGCATGGTTCGTTGCAATCTGAAAGTGACGTCTGCACATTGGTAGGCAAGAGGTTGCATGCCTAGAAGGAAGCTCTGTATTCATACTTGCCCGTTTCACAAAGAGGTGGAGGAGGGTCCCATGTGCCATCCACTTGACAATGGCTCACTCTTGAACCAGTTAGCCTGTGGCCAGCAAGGCATTCAAATGTAACCCTTTGCTTATATGTATACATTCCAGAAGAACTGGACACTATTCTTCCTTTTTCAACTAGAGGAGGTGGGCAGTGAGTCACTGAAAATGAAAAGATTTAATTATCATTTAGTAATGAAGGAAAGCTGTACAGGAATCTATCTGTTCTCTGTGTATCTATGCAGTATCATAGACAAATAAGTCGGATTTTGATTAAGGATAACTATAATTAGGTATTCTTTTCTTGCTGGGAGATAACAGGAAAATGCTTGTCAGAATACTGCCAGATCATCATGCTTATGGGTTAATGTAAGTTGAAGTTTTCTGCAGATGAATTACAAAAGTAGCACAGAAATAAGAAAGCCACACCTCCACAGTATGCACGGCTGCTCCACACTCCATTTATCCCATCGTTAGTAGTACAGTAAATAGAGGCATTTCCAACAAGGGGGTAGCCTGCTTCACAAGTGTATGTTACTGCTGTCCCATAGGAGAAGTCATTCAAATTTCTGCCAGTATGCTTTCCATGGGGAATTTCTGGTGGCGGATTGCATGAAATACCTAGAAATAGGTAGAAGGTGAAAGTATCTTTGTAATTTGCTTTGTTGTCATAGAAGGCAAGGAAAAGGGCAACCACTAGGTTCATTCAGAGGAGTGCATACATTATTGACTATGTGTGCTGCATTAGCAAAATATGGTGAAGCTGTAAGGGAAGCAACTCAACAAAACATGTTACCTGGAGTTCTCCAATCAGCCATGCTTCATCAATGTATTCACAATGATTATGATGAATAGAGTAAAGCTAGTATTTCAAAGGTTTTCCCTTCAGTAGTTACAAATCAAGCAAGCCGAGTTCACTAAAGACAGTAAAAAAGACTAGCTGCTCTCCTGTTAGTGTCATTTCTTATATTCCATGTTCTACACTTTTTGGAGAATGTACATAAAAGATTGTTGGATTTGGGATGTAGGAGCACTGGGTTCTAGTTCCCTGCTCAGAATCAGGAACTAGAGGACTGGCCCTCGAGACCACATAATGCCAGTTCTCTGTCAGCTGCTCTGGCTGCCACTTGAAGTCTGGGCCCAATTCAAAGTGCTTGTTTTAACATTTAAACCCCTAAACTGTTTAGGGTCAGGATATCTGAAGGATTGCTTGCTCCCCTATTTTCCTACTCATCTATTAGGATCTGCTACAGAGTTCTTTCTCAGGCAACTTGCCTCTAAAGAAGTAAAGGGGCTGCTGAACAGGAGATGGGTCTTTTTAGCAGGGACACCCCATCTCTGGAACATGCTCCCCCGAGCCATCTTTACTTTCCTTTTTGTACCTTTTTTATTCTCCAGATATTTTAAGAACTAATAGATGGAACATTTTATATATGTAATGTTATTGTGGCTGCTGTATTTCAGGATTAAATGTTTATAATTATTGGTGTTATCACTTCTTTTAATGTATCATGTTTTATTTGGGTATTTTATTGTTTATATATGGGCTTCTAATGTTTGTTAACTGCCCAGAGAGCTCTGTGGGCTTTGGGGCAGTATAGAAATTCAAGAAATTAATATTTAAATAAACCTTGTTTACTGAGTGACTCTGGGACAGTCACACACTCTCAGCCTAACCTACCTCACAGGGTTGTTACTGTGAGCATAACATGGAGAGAAAGGGAACCCTGTAAACAGCCTTGGGTTCCTTGCAAGAGAGAAAGGTGGAGTATAAATGTAATATAAAAAAATAATTTGGGGAGGAAGGGGAAAACTGAATTCTGTGATAGAATTTAATAAAGTAGTGAGTTGCATGAAGCAAATTCATAAAGTACTTCAAAATGTGGACACATGGGGTCATGGAAATAATAAGTGTCATGTTTAAGAAAATCAAAGGAAGTTCTTCACATCACATACTTAATCTGTGCAGTCATTGTCAAACAGTGGTATTGACAATGACTGGCTGTGTTGGTCTCCCCCATTTAACATATCATCTCACTTGGGATTTCTTTGGTGATGATTTTATATATATAGTAATTAAATGTATAAGCATATTTTGTCACACACATTTGTGAGGTAGTTCTGAGGCAAATGAAGAATCTGTTTGTCTCACCAGTTTAGTATCATCTTTGTGTGGTTTTTTTTTCATGATTTAACGGCAAATCATGTTTAGTGTGATTTGTCATGCACATTCGGCACACAATTCTTTATTTCAGATAATCACATCCCACTAATTTTCAAAGGGGACATAACAGATATAAGCACATTCATTATGATCATTCAAAGCCTATTTGGATTACAGAGAAAAACAAGGGAAGAGAGGTAATAAAGCTACACCATTAGAGAAGAAAAAGGAAAGAGTAGCCCAGCCAACAAAGAGGTGCTGAACTACAGTTCTGCACAAAGGGTTTAGTAAATAGTGGAAAAATAAGAAATGGTTTTTCAAGTATTAGACACTGCATGAAGACACACAAGGTTTTAACTGCATCAGACTTAGCAGTCATTCAGTATGCTACAATATATTTCCTGCAAATCAAGTTAATTTGTGCCTAGATAAAAGAGCTCTGCACAAACACAAAGTCTTTTCATTATTATTATTTCAGGATAATCTACCAAGAATATCTAAGACACAAACTGCCTCTGAAAGAAGTTGTCTTTACTATACTCACCTGGCTCATGTGCATCAGTGGGGGACAGACTAAAAGGAGCAAGTGGTCGATTGGCCCCACTTTTTAAATGGATCTTAATTCTCCATTTTGCCTGTGAACTCACTCTGTTTCTCTGACTAGTACATGCATATTTACCCTTTTCAGTTTTTACCAGCTCTATTTTGTGTTGTTCCCAAATCACTGAAATTGCACTCACAGGAAACATTTAGGGATCCATAATTGTTAAACTGTGCTCTACTTACGCTGACAAACGGGAAGGGCAGGGATCCATGCTACTCCTTGGCCAAATCTCATACATTGTCTGAAGGACTGACCAGTTAGCACATGCCTATAATGAGAGAGAAATCATAATCACTTTTCTGAGACGTATAGAATTTAGCAGCCTAGAATTCAATACAAGTAGTTCCCAAGTTATGAACAACCTGTACTTACCAACAAATTGTCACAACACACGTCAATTTTAAAAAATCCTGCAGAAAATTGTCATCGAGAGAGAGAGAGAGAGAGAGGAAGCAAAAGAGAGGGGGCCCTCCAAAGCATGCCTTCCTACCCTGCCCATTGGGAGAGGGAAATTTCTCTGCAAAGAGGATGTGCTGGTAAGTTTGGGGAATGGGAAAGACTAGAGATCTTTTCTACTTTCACAGGGGTCCTATGCCCTTAAACTCCACAAATGTGGAAGGCCGACAGTATGTGCTCTGACTTACATACAAATTCAATTTAAAGATGAATTTGCATTTTTCTCAGGAACGGAACCTTTTGTAACCTAGAGACGGCCTGAATAGTGTCTGTTTACCTATGTACAGCAAACAAGGAAACTGTATACTGAGGGATTATCCTAGGAAAGCATATTCCTTGCAGGGTAGAATTGTGCAGATATCTCTTCAGATACCCAGTCCTTAGTTCCTGGTCACATAGTGTCCCAGTTAGGTGATATCTTTCGAACATTTTGACCTCTTTGTAGAATGGCTCGTTGGCCATACACAAAAGGACCAAAACCACTTCCATCACTTCATGCACATGTTTCAAGGAAGAATATACCTCCTACATGAACAGCTGAGTAGTATAGTCTGTAGTTTTATACTAAGGTGTCATCCAATTCAAAGTTTTTGCAGTACATTCCACTAAATATTATATTTTTCCTCTGAAAATCATGTAAATGTGGGACCCACAACAAAGGATTTCACTGTATCCTCCCTAGCAAGTGCTGTTCTGATTTTTGAGCTGGCACACTGCCTTTTCTGGCTATGGTGCACAGCCAGTCCTCATTGGGCTATTTCGCTCATCATTTTGTTTTCTTCTGTTTGGGTGGAGTTTCCCCACCCCAGGTTATATTTCATTAAATGTTTTTGGGCTTCAAAAAACCTTAGGATTCTCTCAAGCATGTTAATATCTCTCTCTTGTTTCTCATTTGCATTCTGATCCTGTTGGCAGCTGCCATTTCAGGTCAGTAAGAAAGAAAGATACAATTAGGCAACAAGAAAAGTTAGTCCCTATGATTGCTAAGTCTCTTACCAATATTAAGCTGATTTTGTAAAAGAAACATATGTTATAGATATTTAAAACATGCAAATAGTAAATCCATTCAAGTCATATATCAACTATTAAGAAACATTGATTCACTGTGCAAAATGGTTTAATGTAATTAGGAAGAAATGTGATGGCTTTACGCAGTATTCAATATGACAAAAAGGGATTGTTTTATTCCATTGCATGTGCAACTGGAAGGTTGGTGATAACTTTGTCACTGTTTGTATAGTTTAGTATATAAACTATGTCACTGTTTTGTATAGTTTAAACTTCATAAAAGTTTCCCTTATGTTGCAGCAGCTGAATGTACTTGACCAATTTTGATACCTTCTCCATCAAAAGCAATGTGACTTTAAAAGCTGCATTAGAGGTAGGAATCTGCCAACAAACTTTCCCTGCATGAAATATTAAATAAGGGGGAAAGAGGATCCTACCAGAAAATCAGTGGTTTCCCAGATGCTTACCCTTCCTCACAGGTATAATTTACTGTAGAACCAAATAAAAAATCTCCTGATACAATCAGCCTGCCATTGTCTGGTTCTCCTGGATGTCCACATGATTTTCCTAGCAGAAAATAAGAGCAGTGCTATTTTTCTTTCTTAGGTCAATACACTCTTAAGTACAAAACTGATTCAGGGTTTCTTTCTGTATTCAAATTAAAACAAATAATTTCACAAGAGCAAAGCTGCATGCATTGATTCATCACCTATAATAAACATTGAAGGAGCAGTCCTGTGGACCCCAGACAACACCTGAGGCACCACAGGATAGTTCAGATACCCAGACACAAGGTAGGAGAGAGCACCCAGATCTTGGAGTGGGGAATCCATGATCCATCCCTCTTCCCACTGCCCCTCACAACTAACATGAAAACAACTTCTCCAGTTACTTGTCTGATGTAGGGAATGTACCACAGAGAGGGGGGAAGGGGGTGTTTCAGTGGATGAGAAGGGAAGGAGACTGGAGAGGCAAGATTATGAGCTATTCTGGGTCTTCTTCATCCTCCATCCCTTCCCCTCTGAAATTCCTGCACTAGACAGGTAGAAAAGCCTGCCAAGCAAAAGTACAGGGTGCAAAGCAAGGAGGTGAAGATTGCCTCTACTGTTCCTTCTGCCATGCATGGAATGTGTAGAAGCTTCAGGCTAAGTGATTGGCCCAGTCACCCACTGAGAATTATGGCCCAGGAGGAATTAGAAACTGGGTGTCCCAGGTCTCTAGTCCAATAAACCACCATGCCTCAGTAGTTCAAATGTTAAGGGACTCACTTTTACAGAATTCCTGAACTTCTGACCACACCTGATTTCTGAGACACGTAAGAGAGGCCTTCATTCCAGGGTGCTTCACATAGCCTGGGCGGCATGTATATTTCACTACTGAGCCAATAGGAAAGGAATTCTTTTCTTTATATGCACTGTGAAGTTCAGCAAAGTCTAACCTCACTGGAGGACCACAGCTGCCTCCTGGTAACACCAAGAACAATAATAGGAAGAAAAAGGGAACACGTGTTAGATGTTGTACTGCTGACCCCAGTTCCTTCACCATCAAATGGAAATGGCTCTCCCTTCTCTCACATCCATTGGTATTGTTCTTTTATATCCTGCAAGATAAATATTTCGGTCAGTTGCAAGGCAACATTATTCATTTGTGTAGCACCAAAACATGTCAATTAATTACTTAAGTGTACTCAGGCCATGCCAATGTTACCTATGCAGTACTGATCATACTCTGCTTCTCGTCGCCTTTCTTTCTCTCTCACACACACTACTATGCATATTCCAGCTATATATATGATAGATAAGACTTCCAGGCACCCAGCAATAACAAAGCATTTTAGAAACAGAATAAGATAATTGTATAAAACAGGAAATACCTGAAGGAACACACAGATGAGAGAAGCAGTTTTTTCTAACTTATTTAGTGAATTATGAGCACAAGAGTGATATTCGGGTTTCCCCCAAAAACTATTTCAAAAGTGCATCTCCACAATAGCCCACCAATAATTCTTTCCTCAGCAGAAGGCCTCTGCGTAATCAGTTGGCAGGTATGTGTAAAAGCGAGTCCTGTCTACAAGACAGTAATGGGACTGTAAGCAGTAATAGGAGTGAAATGATAGGAATGTGCAGTACCCCGACACACTGAATAACTTCTACTTATCCACATTTTACTTATTTGAAATATTTACAGGCTACCTTTCAGGACAGGGACTCTTCCCAAGACAATTTACAACAATAAAATAGGCCAAAAGAATAATAAATCAGCAAAACATTAAGAGAAACAAGAAACACCAGCAACAAAACATCAGGCCTAAACTCTGTTAAGAACCTACAACACTGTTGCAGCTGAAGGCCAAAACACTCCAGTTAAAACAACAACAACCACTACTACTACCACTGAGGAAGCCCTTGACTCTGATCTTCCTTAGATTTCAGTACCATGGATTTCATTCATACACCCAGAGACATCATCAACACTTGGCATACTCATGCAGGTGCTGCAGTAGTACCTGAGCATTCTGGCAAGGGCTTCCACTCCTGCCTGCCTGCCTGGATCCCATTTGCTATTATTTTTTGCCTCCCTCACTGACTTCTGTAATGAAGCCTTATTCTCAGCTGTACTTACTGAGTTTGAAGTGATAAAAATGAAAGGTGTAATCACAGTATGGAGTAACCACTTGATTTTTCTGTGCTAGGGCCCACAACTGGTAAAGTCCCCCACCTCAGAGTGCCCTTAGGCCCCCTAAAACTTGGAGCCATCTCCATGCCTTAAACTAATAATACTGGGTAGTATCAGTAAAGGAGCATGCTTAACATGGAAAATCAGCACCTGGAACTCCTAACACAGTTAATCATTTAAGAGCAATTAATTACATGGCTAGAGGAAGAGGTACTTGACAGAGAGCAGAACTTAGGTTGCTTGAAAAAGAAGAAAAATGTGTCTTCCTACTACCCCAGTACTATGTATATCACAATAGGGACACCATAGCCAAAATTATTGCCCTAAATCAGGGGTCAGCAACCTGCGGCTCTTTCATCCCTCTGCTGCAGCTCCCTGTCGCTCAAAATACGCATCACAACCGCCAATGTGCGACACCCGCCGGCATGTGATTTATTGAGCTTTTTGACCCCCGGTAGGCCAACCATGAATAAAAAAGGCCAAGCCGGTAGGCCAACCAAGAAAAGAAAAGTTTCAGAAGAAAACAAAACATTTAATGGCATGTGAGCAGATTCATTTGCTTTCACTGCTGACAAGACTGGTTTACCAGTATGCTTAATATGTGATGAGAAATTGGCAAACAACAAAAAGTTGAATGTTGCAAGACATTTCCAGAATAAACACACAGCCTTTGCTGAAAAATATCCAGATGGAGATGAGAGAAAAAAAGCCATTTCAGAACTGATGTGGAAGGTTGATCTGAGCAAAAATCATAATTTAAGTTTGGCTTTTTATTTCATAAATACGAGGAGGACTCAAATAGACAATGAGTAATTTATTTGAAAGTAACCTTCAACCCCGCGTCTCTTTTTTCGGAGTTCAAAATATTTTTGTTGCATGCAGAAATAAAAAAAATGTTTTCTCTGTAGCAGTTGATTGATTTCATAAATGCAACACACTATAGATTTTTTATACATTGCATAAAGGTAAAAAATGATATATGCAGTGTTATCTTCATTTTAGATGTCAAAAGGGTTTTGCGGCTCCCGCTGTGTTTTCTTTTCTGTGGGAAACGGGTTCAAATGGCTCTTTGAGTGTTTAAGGTTGCCGACCCCTGCACTAAACAAACACAAGCGACAGAAGGAATAACTTCAGGGTCAAAGTCATTGTAACGAAGAACAGGTTGAGGGCTCCTCAGCTAGGGAAGAGTTAACACTTGATACAGAGGCCCAGCCATTCCAACCAGGTGGCAATTCAAGGAAAGCAAGGTGCCATGGCCACCAGAGGGCTTGATAGTGCTTGGAACACAAAAAGCCCCAAGAAACTGTACATTATTTCCAAAGGCAGAACTATTCACACTCCCCTCAAAGGCCGGAGATTTCAGGCCTAAAGGGTATATAACTCTCACCTGACTAATGTCAGGAGATGTCACTCCATGAGACATTTGTTTGATCTAATGGGATAAAAGCATGGAACTGGAACAGACTGAGGTTCCTCTCTGAGGAGAGGTGTCCTGTTGCTGCCAGAAATACTATGTTGGGAATTTTATACCATGTTAGCATTAGGAACAGCAGGCTTTGTTATTTTGAGTCTGAGGAGGCCAACTGAACTGGGGGCCTTGCGGGGAGCTAAGACTGTGTGGGCCTAGTGAAATTGCTTCTCTCCAATTCCCCGTTGCCTTCCCCACACTCAAAATGGTGTGTGTTGTGTGTTATAGTGTTTTAAGACTCTCCACCCCAGCTTGTTTACCCTGTCTTTTAATAAATAAGTTTTACCCAACGCTCGGGTTGTTGTGTGCTGAATCCAGTGTCTGGTCCTCGGATCTGGGGACAAGGAGAGCAGGGGGGAAAGGTACAGCCACGGGGAGGTGGGGACTGGGGCAGCTGATTGTTATAGTCATCCCCACCATTATCTTCAGTAGATAGCACATAACATTTCAAAATACGAAAGCAGCTGGCCTTTCTTTGACCTTCCAATATGTAATATCTACAGCTTTGATTTAGATAATTTCTAATAAAGATTTAACTCATGCTTTTAAAGACAAAAACCTTGTGGTGTTAGGGAACACTGGGGAAGGCTATCTCGATTGCAGTCTTTCCAAATGTATCAATCTGGAGTAAAATTTCCTAACTAGGCTTTTTTCCTCATCGATGCACCAGATGTGCATCTTTTTAGATCCTGTCTCCAGCTGAACAGTGCTAAACACATGTAAACATCCAATCTCAGAGGAAAGTCTCATTTGCTGTCACTTTGTCACCAAATGTTATGGCTGCATTTCAGGTAGTAACAAGGCTCACATCACTCAAATGTAATTATATCTTAATTGTAATAAATACTTGACATTCTTCTGTTATGAATATATATTACCAGAACAACAAATGAATCAAGAATCAGCATTAGACAGCATAGTAAAGATGAAATGAGAGAAGGAATGCTTCATGTAACATTAAAAGTTTCAGTTTGATATGCAACCACTTAGTAAAAGGTAACTTACTGAACCTTCAGGTAGGTAGTAGTGTCTCCACTACTGTGTAAGTCCTTCATTCACCAATTGTCAACATACTTTGTCTCTTTTTTTGAGACGCTTCTCAAAACTGCATTTTATGTGACATACTAGAAGGGATGTTTCCAGTTTAGAAAGACTCTGACAATTGAAGCAGTCTGAATATAAAGATTTTTCTGGAACCAAACATTTCAGGGCACAAAGGAGGAGCTCAACATGCATTCTCATTCTGGAAGCTTGCCTTTCTAGAGCCCTTCTAGAACGGACAATGCTGTGGAGCAAAAAATTACCTTTGCAGCGTGGGGCTGGAGAAGACCAGGTGCCTGCATCTGTGCAATAAATAGTTGCCTCTCCAGTAAGAGCATAGCCAGGATCACACATGTAATTCACAGACATGCCATTGAAGAATATTACTACTTCCTGGCTGCTGTGAGTTCCATTTTCAATATCTGGAGGTGGCAGGCATTGTACCACTGAAAGAGCACCAATTAAAAATAGATTAAAATTATGTTTAATATCACATATTCAATTAATATCTATGCAAGATGTTCTAATTCAATATACCTCATTATTCCAAGACAAATGGTGCCCATGTGTAAGACAGTGTTCCTAACCCCTATCTCAGCATGAAAAGGACAGATTTAGAAGTACAATAGCTACATATCAGCAAAATATGCATTTGATTATCCTTCATGACAACCATATTCCTGCATTTCTAAATCTGTGAAGCAGGGGTATAAGAGGCTCCATACAAGCATATTCTAAGCAAACTCTTCCCTGGTGTAGACAATGGAAGGTTGGTATGTTATTAATCATATAAAAGTGGTAGGGGGAAAGACCACATAAAAGACAATAGAATTTAGGTTGCTTTGAGGAAAAGCACCTCTCTCCTCCATACCAATACAGTATGTGCCACTGCCTAAAATCCTCAAAGGCAATCCAGAAAGAAACAAGACAATCAAGAAATAAAGATAATATTCAAAGGGTCATTGAGTCTAACCCCCTGCTCAGTGCAGGATTCCATGTGAAACTATCTCACTTGAATGGCTGTCCAGTTGCATCTTGAATGTCTTTTGTGTGAGATAGCCCACAGCCTCCTAGATCATTTGTTCCATTGTTATACTGCTCTGTCAGGAAGTTCTTCCTGATGTTCAGCCAGAATCTGGCTTCCTTTAACTTGAGTCTGTTGTTCTGTGTCCTGCACTCTGGGATGATCAAGAAGAGACCCTGGCCTTTCTCTTTGTGACAACCCTTCAAGTACTTGAAGAGTACAATCATATCTTGCCGCATTCTTCTCTTCTCAAGGCTAAACATGCTCAGTTCTTTCAATATTTTCTCACAGGGCTTTATTTCCAGTCCCTGGATCATCCTTGTTGCCTTCCTCTGAACCCTTTTAAGCTTTGCATCTTTCTTCAAATGTGGTGCCCAGGACTGGACATAGTATTCCAGATAAGGCCTAACAAGTGCTGAGTAAAGATGTCTTCATTAAATTTGGAAGTGATAGTTTTATTAATACAGCCTAAAATAGCATTTGTCCTTTTTGCAAACTGTTGACTCATATTCATCTTGTAATCTACAACAGTTCCAAGATCCTTCTCACTTGCAGTATTTTTGAGCAAAGAATTTCCCAAGTATTATAAGCCACCTAAACAGATTTCAAGCTGTGAAACATTTGTATTGCACACAGACTCATATTAAAGTGGTAGAAAAACTTGGAAAGCAGAAAATGTTGCATACATAAATAAAATATAGTCACCACACATCCACTTCACTTTCCTGGAGCAAAAACACTGCTACCTGGAATAAGTTCTTTTAAAGTAATCAATCTGATCCTTCCAGAGGAAGCAGCTGAGGGATGGATGTTGCACACCTCCTTTTTCGGCACACTCTGTGGAATAATCAAATCACCCTCCTACCCTTTTGGTGCTAATCTAAATAAAAAGGATTTTCTATCCAGTTTTGACTTTTCCCTTTCTCTTTTAGTAATGAATACTTGGAGGAGATTTTTTTGGGGTTTGCTTCATATATGAAAGTATCAAGAAAGCCCTTCAAAACTGCAACTAGAAGTACAAGGCAATGGAATCTAGACAATGTATATACCCCTGAGACAGACGGACACTGGAGAATTCCACATACTATCATATTGGCACCAAATTGCATGGTTGCTCTTTAGGGCATAGCCATGATCACATTCCTATGTAAACATTTTCATGGGTTCATTGCCTACTCTTGATGCTCATATCCTTTTATTCTGAATTTCTGGAAGAATATACCCAGCGACTGGAAATGAAAAGATAAAGGCACCATTAGACTTCAGAGCGAGTTGGAAAAGGGAATCCAGAACCAATTTCTTAATGCAACTCCTTGATGTAAAGTTTAACATTTCTACTTCCTTCCATATGGTATAAATCCTCTTTCTGGATCATTGAGAAGGGTCATAGTGCAGTGGAGGATGATATGATTTGCATACAGCTTGGAGTGGACAATATTGAGAGGTTGGCCAGGAGAATGTAGTTCAGCTACTTCTTTGAATTTCTTTCCTTTCACAAGGAAAGTAGCAGGAAATATTTACTGTCTTGTTCTTGTCTGTGAAACTTGACCCAGCATCTGTGGAAATGCCACATGGACATGCAATTTCCACTGCAACTGAGAACTAAGGGCTGCTCTTTATATGCAATCCACCTAGCAATCTATAGACCTTAGCATCAAGCAATGAAGAGGAAGACAAAATGAGTAGCTGAGTTCTCTTCTAAAAATCTTTTTAGTTATTCTGTGCTCACAGACAGGTGGATTTCTTTACAACAGATCAGGAATATGGATAGCTAATCATTCCTCTTGCTGGGAATAGGGCTCTCATAACACAATGCCTACATATCCATACTTGCCCCTTTTGCAGACAGGTAGAGGAGGGTCCCATGTGCCATCCGCTTGGCAGTTGCTTTCTCTTGAGCCAGCCAACCTGTGGCCATCATTGCAGTCAAACACCACCCTTTGTTTATATCCATAGGTGTCAGAAGCACCGCTCACTATCTTTCCATTTGGAATTTCCGGAGATTGACAGTGTACCACTGCAAAGAATGTACATTTTAGAACAACAAATAAAAGAAGAAAAAGAAGACCTGCTTTAGCTATTTTTGCCTCTAGCTGACAGTAGTATCATGGACAACTGTTCAACTATAATTCTGTGCAGACGATTTACAGGATAGCAAATACCTAACTAAGCAAAGAACAAACATTAATGGTATTTGTGATGCCAGGCACTGAGAGTTTCAGTTATTTTCAATTGGTTGCCTTGCAGAATTCTTGAGATTTCTTCAAGAATAATGACATATAGATTAATACAATGCTAACAGTGACTGTGCTAAGGTGAGTAATATGCTGGGCCTCGTAGAGATTGGAGGGATAAGGACTATTTCCAAAATGATCATTCAAGTGTTGCAGAAAAGTTGCTTTGCCCAAATATATCCTGAGATGCTGACTTTCTTGCCTCTAGAAGCCTTGTCTCATATTGAATGTTACTTCTGCTTTTGCATTTTTCTAAGTGACCATTCACGTTTATATAAAAGCTTCTGTCCTACTTGCGAGTGCTGGCAAGCTTTCTGGATTTGTTCAGTGAGGCTCTCTCCCTGCAGCGCTGTATGTGCTTAATAATGATATGATGGGTTCTCTCTAAAAAAATTGGCTGATGAGATTTCTTGGTATTGAAGATTTTTTTTCCTTCCTTCCACTATTCTAATGGGTACTATATGCTTTGCCCCAGACTTTCTTTCCTATGTGACTTTGCTCTGTGACTGTGTTACTTAATGGCTGGCTATAACATATATATTCACAGTTTTCTCTCCTTACTAGATTATTCTGAATTGAGGCTTCTTGAACTAAGTGATGCATATTTTGTCATGCATATTTGGGAGGCAGTTTTCAGGCAAATGAAGTATCCATTTATCTCACCAGTTTAATATTCTATGTCTGTATGTGTGTACGCGTGAGTGTGTGCATCTGTGCATGCGTGTGATTTAACACCACGCATTTATATTTAGTGTGCATTGTCATACACATTTGGCATACACTTTATTTCAGATAAATGCGTGGTGTTTTCATCCCACTAATTTTCAAAGGGGACATAACAGATTCATTGTGGTCATGATAAACACTGAAGGAGCCACACAGGATAGTTCAGATGCCCAGATCCAAGGTAGGAGAGAGCACCCAAACCTTGGAGTGTGGAATCCATGGTCCATTCCTCTTCCCACTGCCCCTCGCAACTGACATGAAAACAACCTCACCAGTTGCCTGTCTGATGTGGGGAATGTACCACAGAGAGGGGGGAAAGGGGTGTTTCAGTGGATGAGAAGGGGAGGAGACTGGAGAGGCCAGAATATGAGCTAATCTGGGTCCTCTTCATCCTCCTTTCCCCCATCCCCCTCTGAAATGCCTGCACTAGACAGGCAGAAAACCCTGCCTAGCAAAAATGCAGGGTGCAAGGCAAGGAGGTGAATATTGCCTGCACTGCCCTACACAGGATTAGAATGAGCATTCAAAATTGGCACCTTATGAGACTTTGAGCTTTATGAGCATTCTGTGTTAAGGAATTGTGACACCCTTTTTTCTCTCTTAACGATTACAATTGTTATTACTATTATGTTGCATTTAGATCCCACATTCTTTCTTCTTCCAAGGAACCCAGGGTGGCTTAGATAGTTGTGCTCCATTCCATTTTTATTCTCACAACAGCAATCTTGTGAGGTAGGTTTTAAGCTGAGTGACTGACCCAAAGCCACCCATTGGGAATAATGGCCCCATAGGAACTAGAACTTGGATCTACTTACTTCTTCTAGAGTAACACTATGCCTCACTAATTCAAATGTTTAAGGAACTCACTTTTACAGAATTCCTGAACTTCTGACCACACCTGATTTCTCAGGCACATAACAGAGGCCTCCATTCCAGGGCGCTTCACATAGCCTGGGCGGCATGTGTATTTCACAATCGAGCCAACGGGAAAGGATTCTTTCTCTTTATACTCATTGTGAAGTTCAGCAAAGTCTAACCTCACTGGAGGACCACAGCTGCCTTCTGTTAACAAGAAAAAATGAGGGAACGTTAGATCAGTGTTTGTTGTAAAACTCCATGAAGTGCAATTTTATAGTCTAACCATTGGACTAGTCTGTTTCCAGGTGGAAAATGCATGGCCTTTGAGATATTGGTGGAATGCACCTGCCATCAGCCCTAGCAGCATACCCAATAATAAGGGATGATGGGAGTTGTAGGGCCACAACTTGTTCATCCTTGCTCTTCTTTCACCTTTAATATGGAAAGAATTTCCATTCTCTCACACTTGTTTGTCTTAATGTTGTCAGTTCTTATGAAATGTTAAAAATACCCAGAAAAACATGCATTTCACATTTTAAATTATTGATTTATATACAATCTACTTATTGTTTTAAAACCCAGAAGGCTTTTCAGAGAAGCACAGAGCTAAAATTAAAGCCTAGAAAGATAAATGTCCATTCTAACAAATATAGCTGTACATCCATTCAACTTTACTTGGTAAAACTCAGTTCTCTCACTTTCCAGTAGTCTACCAAGTTTTACTTGGTAAAACTTACTCACTTTCCAGTAGTCTACCTAGCTAAATTTCCAAAGATTACTCCTTAAAGTAGATGTTACATGTTGCATTGATACAAAGTAGATTTCCAATCCAAACCCTTCTGAACTTCTGATTAAACCCTTCTGATTAAATATGCTTTCAGTATTCTCATAAACGTCAGTCAAAGATTACATGTATACAAATCATATTGAGAAATATATCTATCACCTGTGCTTATTATTTACTCAAATTGTTCTAAATAAATACCATCAGAGATGACTACTGAGCTATATATAACTATATAATTCATGGTTATATATTGATGTTATTCATATATGACCTATAAAGCCCTAAACGGCTTGGGTCCTGGCTACCTGAACGAGCGCTTACGTCCGTATATGCCCGACCGCCCCTTGAGATCTGCGGGAAAGTCCCTTCTCCGGGAACCCTCCATGAAAGAAATTAGGAGAGTAAGTACTCGGAGGAGGGCTTTCTCTGCG